ATCCTAACAAGGGTTTGTGACTGAGCATGCAATGAAATAAGACTTGTCATCACCATTTTTTCCTCTACTATTTGAACAGATTTCTCTAGTTACTCTATCTTCCCACAATAGCTAATCTGAAAATGAAGGACTTTTTCCTCTATATCAGAAAACACTAACAGGATCCAATGGGTTTAAGTATCTCATCCTTTAAAGAGATATCCTATTTTACAAAAAATCAGTTCCACGTGATAATTTTAACCTTCTATTATTAGAAGTAATACCTAAGATTATAATTGAAAATGAATTTTTTATTGCTTTTAGTTAAATTGTTTCCTTGTAGAGTTTGCACTGCAATTCTCACTCACTGATACACAAAAGTGTTTTCAAAACAGTAAAACATGATTGCCAAATGACAAAAATTGGTAAGGGAACAAAGAACAGATGTTGCCTGCAACTCAACTTTTCTAAAAACTTACCTAGATTAAAAGTTGGTGTCATTTTAATACCATCACCTTTTTAAAAAGATTGAAGCTTCTCTTTCCTTCCAGTACAATGATTTTTTATGAATACGTTTTCAACAGTTGAGTAAACTCAGTCAAATCCTTTAACAGCCCAGGATGCATCCTAATGGCTTATGTTTTTACTCCATAATTCCAGTATTTCCAATCTGCATTTTTTTTGTTTGCTTTTTACACAAGATTTCTTTAAAACTGTGTTGAATTACGTAGTAAAAGGAAAATGTGTAAGTGACATTTTTCAGTTGTTAGTTCACTTCTCATCTAATAAACGATCTACTTTCAATTTACCATTTCTTCCATCCCACCTCAAAATCTGCGAAGTCATCCTTATTTTTTGTGTTAATTTTTTTTCCTTCCATTCCATCCCTTGCACACCTTTCAAGTTATTGCTTTCCTTCCCTACCATTCCCATTTACAATACAGGCAGTCCCCGAGTTACGCGGATCCGACTTATGTCAGATCCGCAGTTACGAACGGGGCTTTTCTCGCCCCGGAGGACGCAAGCGGCAGGACGCCCAGATGCGCTGCAGTCCCGCCGCCCGCATCCTCCGGGGCAAGAAAAGCTGCTCCGCGTCTCCCTGGTCTGCTGGGGGGGGGGGGGGGGGGGGGGCGGCGCG